GGGGGGGGGGGGGGGGGGGGGGGGGGCGTTTTGTGGGTCCTAGGGTCTCAACTCTGCTCCTGTCGTTCAGTCATAGACAGTATCTGAAGAAATGTGTATGGCCATGTTCAATAAATCTTTATTTATAAAAACACCACACAGGGAAGCCCTGGCTGGTGTGGCCCAGGTGACTGAGCGTCATCCCATTCACCAAAAGGTCACTGATTTGATTCCCAGTCAGGGCACATACCCTGTGGGTCCTAGGGTCTCAACTCTGCTCCTGTCGTTCAGTCATAGACAGTATCTGAAGAAATGTGTATGGCCATGTTCAATAAATCTTTATTTATAAAAACACCACACAGGGAAGCCCTGGCTGGTGTGGCCCAGGTGACTGAGCGTCATCCCATTCACCAAAAGGTCACTGATTTGATTCCCAGTCAGGGCACATACCCAGGTTGCCGGTTGGACCCCCGGTTTGGCATGTACAGGAGGCAACCGATCCATGGTTCTTTCTCACACAGATGTTTCTCTCACTCTCCCTCTCCCTTTCCCCTCTCTCTAAAATCAATAAAAACATATTTTTTTTAAAAAACACACAGTATAGTGGGCCAGACACACTGCCGTCAGTCAACCTCCTGTTAAACAAACAAAAGCAAAACTTACCTGGTTAAGTCAGGAGGATGCCTGGGCCCCTCCACCCCACCCTTTTTCTCTCCGTATGCTGTTCTCCAAGGCGCCTCCTCATGGAGCACAGTGGAAATGTTTCTCAACAAGAGCACCCCAAATTCAAGGGAAAGGATGGATGCTGGGTGCCGGCTGCCCTGGAGTCACCCCGAGCGCTCTCCAGCAGGTCCAATGTGTTTGGGAGCAGTCCCAGGCGTTTTCCATCAACATCTGGGTCTGAGAGCCCCTCGTAGAGACAGAAGGCTGTAGAACAGTGTCTGTACTTAACAATGGAAAGCATGACCTGTAGTCTCCACACGTCCCATCATCCTTGGAAGGGGCCCAGCGCTGCTCCCAGACAGAAGTGTGTAGTCTGCCTGGGCTTCTGCTTGGAGGAGAAGAAATGTGGCATTCACGCAGCCAGCAGCGTGTGTGTGTGTCGGGGGGGTGGGGGGTAGCTGGCTCAAATAAAGCCTATTTTCCAGCACTGAGACCTGGGCTACGTTTGTTTTAGGCGATTTAGACAGAACCCTTGAAAAGTCCTCGCTTCTTTTCCTCTCTTTGCCAATAGCACACACCAAACATGATTTTGCCCTTTCCAGCGATTTCATGAAATAACGGGGACACACCTGACAGGTAATCCAGCCACACCTGTAGGGGCAGGTGGATTGGTAGGTCTCTTTGTCTCCACATGAAATGTCTCAGGCAACTAAGCCTTTTCTTTTCCCTCCTTTTTTTAAAAAAAAAAATGTATTTTTTTATTGACTTCTGAGAGGCAAGGAGAGGGAGAGAAACGTCAGTGATGAGAGAATCATTGATCGGCTGCCTCCTGCACACCCCCTACTGGGGATCGAGCCTGCAACCCGGGCATGTGCTCTTGACCAGAATCGAACCCAGGACCCTTCAATCCACAGGCCAAGGCTCTATCCACTAAGCCATACCAGCTAGGGCTCTTTTCCCTCCTTTCTCACCATCAGCTGTCATTTCTTGCTGCCATCAGAATTCCTCCATCTGGATTTTCCCTTTCCCAGTTTATTCTGCCCTGGGCCGGGCAACTAGATGACCAAGATTTATTAGACATTATGTCCAAAACCAGAGTACATAGATGCTGAGTGAAGGTGTGCCGAACTCTCCTTTGAGTGACATGTTCTAGATGTTTGTCACCTATTTTGCTGTTCAGAGACATTTTTGTCTTTTGGTCTGAGTTCCTATCTGTATCCTGTTACATAGAGGACACCATATGGTGGTGTGACTTGTAATAAGATGTGTAGGCGAGAGTTTTATTCTTGATGAAGTTCTGTCCATCAAGACGGAACTTTTTCTTTGTCCCTTCTCTGCCCCCTCCTTTGTGCTGATCTGTTGAGGCTATCGGATCAGGTCACACATCGAGTCCTGTGAGAAATCACCTAAACAGACCTCATTTCATTGAGCAGGATAATCTCTCTTTCCAGAGCAGCTACACGGGCACGTGCTTACATTTATCGAGCACCTTTTATGGGCCCTGAACTCTGCCCAGCACTATGTCAACATCATTCCTCATCTTCCAAGGTCGGCATGATCACTTTCACTTGATAGCTGAGAAAACTAAGGCTCAGAGAAGCCAAGCACTTTGTCCTACGCCAGGGGAACGCGGCGTTGGTGCTGTCCGTGGTGCTGCCCTCCTTGTTCATGTCCTGCCTCACTTCATTCATTCCCTTAGTCATTCAGTCATCCAGATGGATTCATCGCCCGTTACCCAGGGTTCTTGCAGGTGCTCAAGCTGCTCTTGTCTCCTTCCAGGAATACGAATTCACCGTGCTTCCCAACGCCTACATGATCCACATGCCTCACGCCCCCAGCTTCGACATCACCAAGTTCCGGTCCAACAAGCAATACCGCGTCTGTCTCAAAACCCTGAAGGAAGAGTTCCAGCAGGACATGTCCCGCCGCTATGGCTTTGCCGCCCTCAAATATCTCACGGCCGAGAACAACAGCTAGCACCACGAAGCCACCGCCAGGGAGAGACAGACATTCTGCCGGGGGGAGAGCCACTTGCTGTGTGGGGCCCAGCCTTGGAACTCACAATGAAGCAATGCTTTTTTTGGTTTGTTTTTATTTGTCTCTTTGGCCCAACAAGGCTGCCTACACCACAGAGATCTGGGACAAGGATCCGTCCAGGCCCACTCTGCCCCACAACCCAGCATTCCCAGAAGGTGGGAAAACGAGCTCGTCCCCAGGGTCTCTTCCAGAATGGGACACGCAGGGCTGAGAGGGAGCCATGGGGTTATCCTACCACAAAGCCACACAACCAAGCAGGTCTGTGGAATGTTCTCGTTACTGTTTAAGAAAAAGGAAGTGAGGGTGCTGGGCGTCAGCCATCCCAGGAAATAAAGGCAAAAGGGTCTTTTCATGCGTCAAACTTTCGTCTTTGCCCTGCCATCTAGCTGAGTAGCCAAGATGAGGGCAAGCCAATGATTGGAACCAACCATCTAAAAACAAAGAAATAAATACCCCGATGGGGACACTGTGCGTGGCGGGACCTGGAGGCGGGGGTGTTTGGTTCTTTGTCCTCAACGTCACTCTTGTTTTGATTTGTTTTTGTTGGGGGTGGGGGAGTGAGGCGGATTTTGTTGGTTTGTTTTGGTATGGGGATCCAGGATAGGAAATGACCTTTTAAGGCTCTGACGGAAAAATCAGCTGCCTCAACCCACACCCTCTATCCACAGTGGCCCAGCAGGGAGGAGGCGAATTCAGCCAGGGGTTGAACATGGGCAGCCTTCTCCAGGGTCATCAACCGAGGCCCCCGTGACCTTGACCTCCCCAGAATCCCGGGGCTAAGGTGGACATAGGAAAACCAACTGTTTTACAAGCGGTCACATTTTCTATGGGCAACGACTGATTCCTGGGGGAAGGGCTTCGAAGGGACTGGTTCGGTGCACGTGAAAGGTGCGAGCCTCTCAGGCCTGTGGAAGGACTTCCGTAATCCGTGCGAGCTGGTGCTGAAGATGCATGTGCCCATTCGGGGATGTTGGAGACGAGCACATGGGCTCCTCTGTGTTCGTTCCCGCCTCACTGCGGTGGGGACGAGGTCACGACCTCAGGCTCCCGTGGGACCTGCCCAGAGGGTAGGCAGGCACCTTCACTGTTACACAGATTGAGGAGACACTGGACTTTTTACCCATTTTCTTGAATCTTCAATATTAATGTTGTGTTTACAATGATGAGAATGAGAGTCAATGCCCTCCCCTGCGGGGCGGTTTGTATTGAGTTGCGATGTGCCCAGCGAACGCTGCATTCAATAAACGGAAGTATGGACTGTTTCCTCCCGCCCCCTCCCACTCCTGTAAGAAGCTGCGGGGACACACTCAGTGTAGCGAGCAAACTTGAGAAACAGCAACTTTCCACTTCCTGTTGCCGTTTTATTTCTCTCGTCATCTGAACCTTAACCTTTTCCTCCTTCCCTGAGGTTAGATTTCACTCTAGCCTCTTAACACTCACAGCATTTTCCCATTTCCCACTTAGTTTCTGTCTGAACACAGATGTTTTAGATACCAGATGGGGGCAGCGAGGTAAATCCTGGGCATCAGTAGGAAAGTGAGCCCCCACCCCTTCGACCTGGTGGTCCTAGGACACCCACAGCAACCTGGTTTAGGAGACGGTGGGTGTGTTATATGGTCAGATGGATATTTCACTCGGATTTATTTTTTTAAAATTAGGAAAACAACTCTTAGGGCTAATCCTGAAACCAATGTAAATAAGTTTATGTGTGTGCACATATCTGTCATCTACATATATTACATATAACCTATATGCAGATGTATATTACAAAGTCAATCCATGAATAGAGTAAAAAGTAAAACATTCCAAAAGTGTTCAAATTACATGGTAAACCCCCTTTCTCCATCGGCGTGTGGGAACCAGCTCACAAGAACTCACTGCATGCATCCCTTTTCTTCGATGTTCAAGTGACATCACATCTGTAGCTCAATATTGGCCATCACAGGAGTAGTTATACCACCAATTAGGGCACCACCACCTGAGAGCTGGTTGTTAAACATTGACCAGCACGCCAATGCCTTCTCTTCCCTGTGTATACACACACGGGAACTCAGACATTCTCTCCTTTCTAGAGAAGGTCACTGTTAACAGATGTATGATACAGCTTTTGGATTAATGACTACCAGCTACTTGAGCTAAGTAGCACTGGTTCCTCAATGTTACAAATCTATTTTTAATTTCTTAAAGCTTGTTATGTTGTACATTTTTTTTTCCCATGGCCCCTGAATCGTACCCAGCCACCTCGCTCTCACTGGCAGTCCTGTGGGTTTTGTCGTGACCATATTATTCATCATCCAAACTGGGTTACCTCCGAGGATGAAAGGAGGTGCTAATTGCTTTGAGACAATAGGTACAAACTGAAGAATGGTGTAGCTTCATGGACACCAAGTGCCAGAACCTGACACTACGCACCGACAGGAGAAAATTCCATTTCCCCAAAGACAGGTGCCTGACACATGGAGGTTGATCTCACTTAAGGCCGGAGCTCGGATGTTGGCTGATGTCCAGGTTCCATGTGGAGGCTGAGGTCTGCAGAGCCAGCAGCGTGAATTCCCAGAACTTGCATTGGGAACAGCCGTTCACGGCCAGCCCATGTGGGGAGCTGCGGCCATTTGGACAGAGGCAATGGCTGTGGGTGCCTGTTCCTTCCTATCCGTTCCCTAGGGGAGAACAAGCATACGAACGGGTCACACTGGTGTTTTCCATTGGTGTGTGTTTAAATAGCCGATGCCATCTTGGCATTCAGCTGAAAGAAAAGGTTTCTCCGTAATATTCAGAATCTAACAGAGCTAAGATGTATTGAGTAACACCACTATGTGGAAGGACCTTTTGCATGCATTAGCTCACCGAGTCATTGTAGCCAAACAACAAAGTGGATATTACTGTTTATTGATGAGGAAATTGAGCGAGTTCTGGGAAATTAAGTAACTTCCCCAAATTCACATAGTCCATACGTGGCAGAACCAGAATTTAAACCTAGGCCTATTTGTTTGAATCCAAAGCCACAAAGCAAGCAATGTTCCTTCCTTCCCCCAACTAAGAAAGAAACGGGTTAAATATCGGCAGACAGAAGGATGGCAAGGGTATTAGATTTCCAGACTTTTTCCTTCAACATCCATCTAATTACACACACAGTCTAGACAGCAACCTCTCCTGTTTGCTCCAAATCTTGCTCTGCTCCTGGACTTTCTGAAAATTCATTTGAAATAGACCCGGGCAATCTCTAATCCTATTTCGACAGCGAGATCGACTCTAGGGGGCAGTAATTGATTCCCTGAAGGCTCCAGGTTACTTCCCAGATGACAGGGCCCAGGTAGAGACACTGTTTTCAGCTCCCCCTTGGACCTCAACTCAGCATCTGCCTCCAGGGATCTCCGAGTGTGTAGGGCTGGTTCACAGAGCACATATGTGCTGAGCTGACTAATGGCTTCTTTGTGCCCCATCGTGAAAGGACAGACCCTACTCTAATTCTGTTCCTTTCAAAGACTCCACTGTCTTTGAGTTAAGGCTGCATTTGTGATCACCAGGCCACTAGGGAGCTCTGTGTCGGTGGGAGAAACGTGAGGAAAATCCACTCTCTAACGTGGCATCTGCACGCCATTGGTGGAGGTGATTGGAGCCACCATTTAGTGAACCAAGGCTTCAAGGTAGTTGGTACTTATGTGGCCTCACCACAGCATTCTAATATAAAGAAGGTATTTTTATTAAGTGAATGGAACCAGCCCTCAGAGAAATTATGTGACTCGCCCAAAATCACACAGGTTGTCCATGGAGGTGTCAGAATTTGAACCCAAATCTGGCTGACTTCAAAAACCTCTATCTTTCCACTCTATGCTGTTGTCTCCTCAGATGATACTGAAATCAGCTTGGCTACTGGGCTTGTGCAGTCATACCTTCATGTAGGTCCTGGTTATATCTTTTTTCCCCTCCTTGCTTTTTTAATCCTCAGGTTAATTTCCCAATGTCAGGCCATTGAAGTTTATGAAATGTCAGTTATCTGCTAAATGCATTCTAAGAAGTCTCAGACCCATGGAATCTAATGTCAGAGAGCCGCCATGGTCTTTGTCTTCATTCATTTAACATAAATGTTCTTAGTATGTGCCCTCCAATTTCAAGGGATGGTTGGTGACAACTGACAAGGAGATCATGGGGACACCACAAAAATGTAGGGTTTCTCATTATGAATTTGGTCATTGGCTTGTTCCAACACATACAGATAGTCTTGAGACACGACATCTTCTGGAATGAAGTTCTGGGAAGTGCTCCCAAGGCGTGGTACCAAGACCATCTGATCGGTGAGGCTGGGATGATGTCATGAAATGATTGACAGAGCTTGCTCAGAGCAAAACTCTTCATCGGATTCCTGGGTAAGTTGTGCTGCTGTGCTTCCGAAGGAAGAAAGGAAGGGCGGTATCAGAACAGTTTCCTTGCAGTCATCATTATTTCTTTCTGCATGCCACAAATAGTAATGTGCATCCGCTCGGCGATGAGCACTGTGGAGACGACAGTGAACCAGGCCTGGTCAGCTCTCACGTGATGGACAGTTACCTAGATAGCTGAAAAGTGAAGAGGTAATGCTAAGGTAGGTTTCGCCTTATTACATTCATGCAAACAATTTTAGTTTATTGTTAAAGTTATAGTCTCAAACAGAAGAGTCACAAATAGCACCAATAACTTAGATGCCCGTCATTCAGATTCACCAGGTGTTACATTTAGTCACATATGCCTCATATCTCTCTGTCTACAGTATTTTTTCTAAAGCATTTGAGAGTGAATTGTAGGTGTCATGCCCCTTTAAATCTGAATATATATTTTTTTAAAAAATAGGGACATTACCTTATAGAGCTACAATGCAAGGGTCCAATGCAAGAAAGTTAACATTGATACCAAACTATAGTCTAACACACAGTCTACTTTCAAAGTTTGCCAAATGTTCTAATAATGTCTTCATAACAGGAATGACCTCCATCCCATTCTGCACCCCGATTCCAGGGTCCAATTCAAGTTCAAATATTGTGTTTAGTCGTCTGTAGTCTCTAATCAGGAACAATGCCTTGGTCTTTCTTTACACTTTCTGACAGGGACATTTTTTAAGAGTATGGACAGTTGTTTTGCTAGTTCAGTGTTCTGACTGAGAAATGGGTTACATAAGCAGGCCAATTCATAGACTAGGTATGTATGTGTATGTAACCTTTTGAGTGCATTATATTATACAATACATCATAAACTTTGATGGCAGATAGTGTTAAAGAAGCCGGGACTCAGAAGGTTCGCCATCGATGTGTATGCAATGCATTGGTGAGCTAGTCCCACAGGTGGGGCCCTGGGGCAGTACCTGGTATCATAGGACACATCACTCGCCCCATGTGGTTGCCTTATCACCAGAAAACGAAAGGGATCGTTTTCTATCTGCTTAAACGTCTTCTAACAACTTTTAAGATGTATTCATTCGTTGACATGCTTTGTAGATTAGAATGGATGTAGCTTATTTATAGATATAAGTATGAGCCTTTTCAGTTTTTTTTAGTTACCCAGATGTAAAAGATAAAACAACAATGCGAAGTCTTACCTTCTTCTCTCTGAGTTCATTATATATGGACCCACATTAGCTAGTTCATTAGCCTGCCCACCCTCCCCACAGATTATTGAACACTTGGGTGGAACTGGCTACAGAGCGCGCTACCCCTGTTGGGAGTGGGGGATGGAAAATTACTAGGAGGAGACATCAGGGTAAGGGGATCCTTGCGAACCTGATTTAAGTGCTCAGCCCGATTCTTGCTAAACCAGCATGGAGAGGCCTGACGCTGACCCTGGTTTCCCCAGGAATGGGCTAGAGACTCTATTCTGTGGGCTTCTTGGAGCCTTTAGCTTCAGGATTAAATACCGTTTCTGAATGTAGAACTCTCCCTCTGGCCTGAACAAGACTCTTCTCTCTGGAGCTCAGTGTCTGTGTCTCTGAGACTGTTGATCTTCTGTGATTCTAAACACAGCTTCGTTTTGTTTTTGATTTGGTAACAACGTTAGGAAGCACCTGAGTAGTACTGGCTGTGCATCGGTGAGTGTTAAGTGTTTTACATCTAGTAAGTTAGTTAAGTAGTAAATATTACCAGACCCATTTACAAAGAGGCAAACTGAGGCACAGAGAGGTTAAGTAATTTGCCTAAAGTCACACAGTCCGTAGCAGTGCAAGATTTAACCCAGGCAGTTTGGCCCCAGAGTTCACCTTCCCCTGACGGGGGAGGAGACGGCATGGTTTATAACA